AGGTTCGGCCCGACATCACGCACCAGGTACCGGGCGGGCCGGCCCTGCTGCGGGTGCCCCCGGGACGGGCTGAGCGCGGGTCTGCCCGCTGCTCGTGGGGCTCGAGAGCTCAGTCATTCCGTTCGCTGCCATACGGGGCGGCTTTAGCTCAGTGCTGCGGTACAACTCGTGTGGCCACATCAGTTGTTTTCTGCCTGAACATCCATCTCTTCTGCAGTCACGGGGCCTAACCCTCCAGTTTTCCACGAGCCCTCTCTCTCTTGTGCCTTTTCCACTTCTCTTACTGCAAGCTTTTATATTTCAGAGTCTTCTGATGCTCATGGACAGCCCCCTGAATCGAGCTGGTCTCCTTCAGGTTTATATCCATACCCAGAAGAATGTGCTAATCGAGGTCAATCCCCAAACCAGGATCCCAAGAACTTTTGATCGATTCTGTGGTCTTATGGGTACGTAACAATAATACACTTTAATACCAGCCACAAAATCATGCAGGAAGGTGCTTAGGAGTGGCAGGATTTTGTGGGAAGAGTCAAAAAGTTGCACCAGCCTTAAAAATGGGAGTGAGACAAGAGCAGACAAATGAAAAGTGCCTTTTTGTGAGTTTCCAGGATAGTCCAGCTGCTTGTTCCTTAGCACGATGGGGAGACCCCTGCATGAGACTGCATTAGCAGCAGTGTAACTTCCTGCTCAGCATCTTTTAGGAAGATGCTAGGAACTCTGCAACTAGATTTCTCTGATCACGGGGTAGAGGGTAGGATTTCTCCAGCAAACAAACAGACAGCTTAAGTCATTTTCTTCTCTTGCCAGTTCAGCTGCTGCACAAGCTCAGCGTTCGAGCAGCTGATGGGCCTCAGAAATTGTTGAAGGTAAACATCCTTTGGCTGTTCACACACGAGGTTGCAACATTCCTCCTTTGCAGCTTGTGATAGAGGAATTTATTACGTTTTTCCCTTGGTTTTTGGTAACAAGCTCTGAACTCAGCTAGCTCGTGCGGCCTCTTACCTCTCTGTGCCCCTGTTAACTTGCTGCAGGTCATTAAGAACCCGGTCAGCGACCACCTCCCTGTGGGCTGTATGAAGATAGGAACCTCTTTTGCAGTCCCAGAGGTGTCAGATCTGCGTGAGCTGGTTCCTGCAGAAGAGCCAGTTGCCATTGTGGTGGGAGCTTTTGCCCATGGTTCGGTACGTGCACCTATCCCTTCCTTGGAGGTGTAAAAATCTCTACAGCATTTACTTCATTCTAGATCCCAGTATGGTGATTGTTCTGCTTTTGCTTGCCCCCCTGTCCTGCTCCCCGGGGCTTTCCCCGAGGTGGGCTGCAACTCAGGACTTGTCTCTCCCGCGAGAGGGCACTAGGGAGGGCACTCGTCCTGCTGTGTTGCACTGTCACTGTTCAGCCTGGCAGAACTAATGTGCCTGTCAAACCAATGGAGATGGGACCAAGTGAAAACCTGTGACTTTGTTTTGTTTTCTCTCTTCCCCCAGGTCAATGTTGACTACACAGAAAAGATGGTCTCCATCAGCAACTATCCCCTGTCTGCTGCCCTGACATGTGCTAAAATTACTACTGCCTTTGAGGAAGCCTGGGGAGTAGTATGAGCTGCTGCTGCTTCTGTGCTGATGGACTCCTATACAGTGACTCCACATTCTGGAGAGGCTTTCATACTGAGGTGTGGACCTGGAGGACTTTGGGCTCCTGGAAGGGAAAAGACTTTCATTTCATCCTTGTAGCTTCTGGAGCAATGAGACTTTAAATGCAATGACATTTTTTTCTCCTATTAAAGGTCACCTTTGATAAAAGTGCTTGTGTATTTTACTTTTTCAGATTTCATCTGTGGGCAAGCTTGATCCCCTATTGCAGGGACTCAGCCCAGATTTGCCATGGAACTGAAATCCTTAGCTCTGCCCTTAGCATCATACTGCCCTGCAGCTCATACTGCTCAGTCCTGTAGAATCACCTTGCTTGGGGGTGTGCAACAGGGTGCACTCCCACACCCAGCCACCTGAGCAGAAAGGAGCTGAAGCTCATTTGAAAAAGACCAGGAGCAGTTTTTTATCTTGGATGACAAACGTAGAAAAGTCAGAAGGTGGCTCCAATGCAATACAGTGCCTGCCGTGAGTGTTTTACAATCATCTGAGATCAGCAGAGAGATACAAGTGTCCACTGAGGGAGGCAGAGAGATAAGGCAACATATAGAAGGTGGAGGATCTGGAAGGAGGCTTACTCCATTCCCCTCCTTTTGGGTCTCTGACCCTGTGCTTTCTCTTTCCCCCTTCTTGCAGTCAGAAAAGTCGTACTTCAGCACAGAAAACTTGGCAGGTGATGCTTTCCTTCTGGAGTGTTAGATCAACTCCTACAAATGCACAGGTGGTACAGTCTGAAAAAGAGAAAAGTGCTGGATTTCAGTGGTTGTTACGTTTCCCTTTCACCTTGACATGTAACATTGCTGCCCCACTTCATCTCCTTGCCCGAGGGTGGGATTCCCTCCGCATCATACAGCCTTACCTTTTGGCTGTTATTCTGGCTTTTTAAGCCTTTCTTTTCGTGGCACAATTAATCTGCGAATGTAAGGCAACACCAGCAGTAAGGTGAAGAACAACACGTGGCCAAGGAAATAAACAGACCTATACACCTGGGAAGAGAAAGGCAGGGTTAAGGATCAGCAAGCAGCTCTGAGCCAAGAACAGCTGAGAAGGCATGGAGGGGAAAAGGCGTTGGTTTCATGGGTTGTCTGTGGCTAGTGGATACCTTCATCCATTTGTCCCAGGTGAAGAGGCAGAATGGCACCAGAGAGTAACCCATGAACAGCCAGTGGTTGGCCTGCTGCAGCACGTAGAAGATGGGCCGCAGGGCAGTGATGGAGGCCAGAGTGCTCAGGGGAGGGCTGTCCCGAACAAGGTTTATGACCTAATTCAAAGAAAAACCAGAAGTCTCCTCAGTTGGGTGTCCTATGGCTAGATTTGCAGGCTCTGGGGCCAAAGTATCTGTGTAAAATGAATTTCAGTAAGCAGTCAGTCTAAAATATTTACATCTCCCATCCTGCTCAATGTTTTAATTAAGGAAAAAAAAAGCTTAAATACGGAATATTGTTCTCTCAGTACTGGGAGATTTAGCAGAGGCATTCAGCTCATGTGCTTGTCCTCCAACCTTTCCAGCTGCCAAGAACTTCTGTTGCCCTCTATTCATATGTCAGGCTCTCCATTTTTCTTCCTGTCAGCTCCTCCACTCAAATTTATGGCTTGCCAATGCAGAAGCAAGCAACCTACTGAACTCCAGAGCACAGAACTGCATCATGTTTTAAAACCAACTCCACAGGAAGCAGCTATGTTTCATATTTAATCCAGGGAAAGCCTTCACTAGGGCTGTTTCCAGGCTGGCAGGGAAAGGCTAAGGCAGGCCACCCCACTCTGGGAAGTCAGACAAAGCGCACCTGTCTTTCAACGATGACTATAAGCAACTCCATTTGAAAGCACACCAGGTAGCCAGAGTGCAGCCCGTGCCAAATGGCCAGGAAGAACAGGGCCAGTGCCTGTGACAGCAGTTTGTTACCCAGGAACTTCAGGCGCTTGAAGATGTAGCTAGAGCAGAAAAGAAACAAACTCAAAGTGCTTCCAGTTTATCGTCTGTCCTCCCCTCGCTGTGCCAGAGGTGCAGGGCCCTGGGGACCATACGCCTTTGCACACCCTGTGGTGACACAAACAGCAAGACGGCTCCCCGTGCCAGGGCAAAGTGCACCTCAGCCCTTCTCTTAAAAGAAATCCCAGCTAATTGGAGGAAGTGGTTCATCCAACAACGCACACAGAGGTGAAGGTGTGTTCCAATTCAGTGATGTATCCCAGCAACTGTGTTGAACCCAAACCCGGCCGAGTCACTGCACAGGAGGCTTTCAGGAGGCACGATGCAGGAACCCGCAGTCAGAGCACTTCTGTGGCCATTGACCAGGCAGCTGAAGGGCTTGCTGTAGTCCCACTGTAACCTCTGCCCTCCTGCTGCCACCAACTGCTTCCCTAGATTAATGAACTGCCCTTTCAGGTGGAATGAAAAGATCTGTCTAACCCAGTAACCAGTTTCAAATGGGACAGCAGCAAAGAAAAGTGTGTTAAGAACTGAAAACTGGCAGATTCTTCCTCTAGTGCTCCCTCTCAGCCTAGGATCTTGGTTCTGTTGTCACAGACAATACCACACATTACAGAAGGGGATTTTTGTCCTGCTCACCGGGCCACCCAAGCATTGGTGTTGATGTTGAAAGAAGCAATGGTCCCTGTGAACAAAGGTGTTGTCTCATACAGCCAGACCTTCATGTTGGCACAGGCATCCCACAAAGGCTTTCCATTCTTGTCCTTCCCATTGTACCCCAGACCAACAAGGATGCAGACACCTTCCTATGGAAGAAGATTCACAAGAGAGATGAGAAGAAAACACAGCCCCCCTCCCCCTTTTTTTTTTGGTAAGGCAGAGCTGGGGAAGCTCTGACTCTCACTGTGTTGAGAGGAGAGACACTACTGCAGATGGAACAAATGGATTAAAAACTGCCTACTTTTTTGTTAGCCAGCCTTTGTGAACTTGAAGCAAGCTTAACTGACCTGCACTGATCTCCAGATATTTGGATGACTTCAATTTAGTGCTAAGTCCAAGAGCATACTAAGCTGCAAAGGGGCTACCTTTCTTCATTTGTCTTTTGTTTCTGGAATGGTATCTGGACTCACCGTAACAAGCCAGCAGGTGACGTATTTGTAGAGTATAATTTTTCCCCAGATCAATATGTAACCACAACGGAACCAGAAAGGCTTCTCCTGCAGAGAGAAGAGTGAAATAGAACAAAAATAAAAGCCAGAGTTGAGTGGCAATAATGAGACAAGGTAGAAAAGATGTCATAACTGTTGTTTGTTTTAATCTGATGTGTTGAGGCTGCTGTGTGGACTGAACTGCCAGGCTCCTGGCTTATGCAAATTTGCATCTCATTCTCCTTTCTTTGGGAATATTTGGATATACTGAAATAGGTACTTTGGGAAGACTCCAAGATTAGCATAATAATGGTGGAATTTACACCCTCATTTATTCATACTGACACAGAAACACTATCTGCAGGTAGGATGTACTTGTTAGGAATTTTCTAAGAACCTCAAAGTTGCTCTTAAGCCTTCCAAGTTACTCTAGTCAAGTTCTTTGCATGTAATTTTTAAATGGAAGGTCATTCAAAGGTCACAAAACACATGTTAGGTTTCCAAAACCAGGATTAATTCTCTTATTGTTTTCATCTGGTTCAGTTCAGATGAACACATTCCAGTTCTGCATCAAATGGAACACACAGGACAGGCAGTGAAGCCAAATCAGTTGTGCAAAGGCTTATCACTAGTTGCTGACTTATTATTAAATTGAGGCAAAATTAAGAAAAAGATATTCCACTCTTGTGATTCCACCAGAGAAGGGGAATTCTTCTGCACCCCAGAACTGCCAAATGCATACATACCATATAGTCATCTGAGATGAGGTATTCATCAGAGATGTACAGGCTTGACAAGGTATAGGTTACTAGAAACAAGAGACCCAAACTCAGGCGCTTGAGAGCAGGTACAAAACTGAGAAGGAAAAATATGAAGGTCAAAGAAAAGCTTTGGAAAGAGACTGTCAAACTCATCATTTTAAAAACAGAAGTTGAGAAGAGGAGGTAGGGGAGATAGTGATAGGGAGTCACCATCTTCCACTGCAGCAGATGCCTCTGTTTGGAAGCTGGCATGCTAATGTTACCAGGTTGGGACTAAGTCTGTGCTGAAGATGTCAAATGGTTGTTGATGTTGATGCCCTGGAACAATGCTAGGACATGAAGCAGAGAGTTACAAGCAGCTTTTCAAAGTTGCCATGTTTTATAAATCGCTTTTGGCCACAGCACTTTAGTGTCCAGGTCAGAAGGCACTCTGCTGCAGGGAATGTGTGAGGGATTCAGCATTCTAGGATCTTAGGAAGGCGAGAAGCTAGATGGCTTTTTATTACCTATTGGGTCTCTGGCCTGGAACGTCAGTCATCTCACCCCTTGCCAGTTTCTGATAGTCTACCATGGAGAACTGAGGCCCCACCATGAAGGCACCATAGAAATAGGAGAATCCTGAGACCTCCAGCAAGGTAGGAACTCCACGGACAGCAAATTGCCGCTGCTCAGGGGTCAGGAACTCCTGCACCAAAGGCAGTGGCATTAATATCATCCTAGGGGATCTCATTCTAGCTCTGGATGTTACGTTCTCAACCTACTTCCTTAATGGTCTCAGTTCTTGCTCTCCATGTATAGGGAACTTTCCACTTTGTACTTCAGGTCCATTCCTCTCTCCAGCCCTGTCTATGCCTGCCCCTTTAAATAGCAACAAGACCCAATGGTTGAGACCCATTGCACAGATCTCTATTCCCAAATAAACTCAAAACATGGAAGGATGACATGCATCCCTGCTGGCACAGTAAAAGCGCCATACCTGACCTATCCCAGTCTCTGACTTCAATCATATGTACTCTCTCAAGACCTTATTGTCCTATAATTCCTACTTCTTGATGCAATAATTCATTGTCTCTAAATACTTGAAACTTCAGCTTTGGAAATTTCAGCTCAATCTTGTTTTCTTGCAGTCAGCAGTGATTCCATGGATACTAAAAACTCGGTCAGGCCCCAAACAGAAGGGGAACGCAGATACTTCATGCAGGATTAGGAGACTGTAGCAAGTGTTCTGCCTTCTCCCACACATGCTGTGCAACTTCTCTCACTGCTCTAAAAACAGGGCCCTAACACATGGTAAAGGGCAACAATTCACAAGGATACAATAGACTAAACAAGGAAAAGGAAGACGGGAGCTAAGATCCAGTGCTGATGGTCTGCAAGCTAAAGGTACACTACCCACAAGACACAGAGCACTTGGGGACTGGGAATCTAAAGCAACAGATTTGGAGGAAGGAGATGGAATTTGCAAGGGGGCAGAATAATATTCTGACACGATTGAAACAACTTTTTTCCATCTCTAATCACTACTGTCTCTGTTCCGAATTATTTCTTTCCACTCCAGAGTTCAGTGCTCCCAGACACTGACACAGCTCCCCACTCAGCTATGTGGTTCACCAAACAGCGAATGGAGCTTGCTAACTCACATCCTTTGAACTTGATGTTCTGACCTCTAGCTACCAGAATGGCACAGAAGAGGGGAGGAGGAATGATGGAGAAATGGTGTCTTACTCACCGGAGCTTTTCCTCCATCATAGTAATCAATGGCCAGACCTAGAGGTGAGAAACAACTATGTAAAGCCCTGGGATGGGCTGGTTGGGCTGAACAAGCAGTCCTCTTGTCCTTGAGGATTGTAGAATGCAAAAAATAAGAAGGAGGTGTCACTCACCAATCAGCTTGAGTGTCAAGACACAGTGTGGCATTGTCCACTTGATGTCATAATGCTCCGTGGCTGTGAAGTAATATCCAGCCATAAGGTATGTCTAGAAAAAAAGCATTGTTTGGGTTATTTAAACCAAGTCCTCCAGCTGGTTTTGATCTGTCTCCACTCTTCCACCCACAGTTGCTACTGGGAAGCACAAAACTCAACAGAGGGCTCCTTTCTACAACCCAATGCAGTTAGAAAAGAGTTTTACCATCTGAAAGAGGAACGTGGTGAAGACGGCAGTGACTGTGCGACCCATTAGTCTCAGGATGAGGAACTGGATTAGGACACACAGCAAGGAATGAAAGAACTGCATCCCTGTGGGATGGGAGAGAGAGAGATATGAAGTAGAAATTACACTACAGGTCCTCCCAAACCACAACACACCCTGAGCCAGGCAGCTCTCTCTGCCCCAATTAATCTTACCAAAATTGAAGTAAGCAATTGAGAGGCCTGTGATCACATTGTAGAGGTGAATGAGGTAGGTCTCCTTCTGGAAGAGGAAACAGCGTTGGAACAAGGCAAAAGGGTATCCTGAGTAGAGGAGGAAAAGGAGAGAAAAGAAATAAAGATTAAAGAGTTGGAAATGAGCGTAGGCAGACATTTGTAATGGTCCAGATGATAGCTTCCTTCAGCATGTTATTAGGAACATGTACTTTACACAGATTCATCCACACAGGTCCCAGTATACATTCCTGATATTGCATTTCCATCTGGGGAGATAGATGCCAGATGAATTACTCTGTATATTGTACAGAAGAAAATACTTCAACAGGAACATATCAAAGTTGACATTGAAGTGCAAGTGATTCCAGGATTACAGTTACTGGCTTCATTCAGCACATGTGACAGATAATGCTGAAAGACATGAATCAGACTTCAATCTCTGATTCATTTCCAAATTCTGTGACATACACAGTGAAAGTGGTGAAAAGCTAGATTTAAAAAAACCAACAACACAACAAAAAACCCCACCAGAACAACAACAGAAAAACAACAAGGGGGGGAGGGGAATTTTATAATACCATCACACTGTCCTTAAAAAAGTCAATCCCCTCTCCCACTTCAATGAGTTCTTACATGATGCTGACCAC